GGGACTACACCGTATGCCTACTACATTATAGCATTAGAGCAAACCAAATACCGTACGCCTGACTGATTACACTTAAACGGAAGTAAATGATACATAGATAGCGGATAGAGGTTCCCATGTATAGAGGGACGCTGCAAGCGGTATCTGTAGCTACAGCTTAAGGGAAGTCGATATCCTGCCGGTTTCATTCTCGTTTTCCTTCCCAATCAAACAGAGCGAAGAACCTCCTTCCAACGTGAAGCTCACAAGGACCATGTCTGATGAACTCGGCTCGATTCCGTCGGCAACGGGGCAGCCATGGATAGTGAACGTTGAAGACTAGTGCAAAGGTACGAATTGAACGTTATTCCTGACATGCCGTCTTAGCACAGGTTCGTTACCGTTACCCCTTTGATCTGTTAGTAACTGTGCTCAGATCTACAAAGTAAACATAATGTTGGAAATCGTCAAAAACAGGTTTAGGCGGCAAATGGGCATGGAAACTATGCAGTTTTGATTTCTGGCATACCTTCGTCTATGACGTAGTTATGGCACACAGGTGCCGCCGTGGCAACATGAAATTTTGACGTATGCTTTACATCAAGTATGTCATAAATTTGCCCTTCGGTGAATAACCGTGAGACGCTCGGCGGTGTACTTTGTTTCGTCGACTAGTTAACCTCTGCCCAAGCGGGTTGAAGGTGAGATCGTCAAGGAAGAACTACGACTCTTCCGCCGGCTATTATATGTCGCTTTCCTATACAACCGCATTATGAGGTACCAATGCAAACCTCAACACAAGTCATGGTAAACGTACACGACTTTTATTACGAAAACAATAGCTGCATATGTTCAACGAAACTTCAAACAAAAATGCTCCTCGGTCGCCGACCCAACAAGTTAAAGCAAACATGTGATCTTAATCAAAGAGTGAACACGAAAAATTTTTGGTCTCAACAACAAACACCGTTTTTATCAGTGTACAACATATCGAACAACATGAGGGGACACTATGGATTATTACAGCATAATCGGTTAGCAGATTTTCTCGTACAGGTCACTGTAGTCGTTATGGGTCAGGGTGCATCGGGAGCCAAAGTGGCTTTTCGTACTGTACGAGTAGCCAATGCAGATGCCGGCGTGGTCGTGGACCACCGCCTGACACCAGCTGCGCTGAGTACAGAGCGAGCGACACTCGCCGGCGCTGGTGATCGAGTCTTTTACGGCCAGTCCTATGCCACAGTTCAGCAAGGCGCTGGTCGTCGACGTCAGAAACGTGTCGCACGGCTCTAAGATCCGCTCTACACAGAACGTAATCGATAATAAGTCTAACGAACACTTACTGTAGCAGTCGGATCTCTCGAACAGTATCCAGTCGGTATTGTGCTCTCGTCTGCAGATGCCCCCCGCCTCGACACTCTTGTCGAAAAACAGCTGGCACAGGCCGAACTGGCCGTTGTGCGTGAACGCACGGCAGCCGAGAGTATTGCGACAGTAGTCCAGGCAGCTATCCCGATTGATGTGCGGTCCTCGAAGAGGCTGCTTGACACAGTCGATCGAGAACGTGGTCTCAACGAATGGAATGAAGTCGGCGCAGTCTCCTGAAAGCGTAACAGTCGTTGGACTCGCAACCAATCAACAGAAATTTTCTCACCGTGCATCATTCACTATTAAAAATTGGCTGAACAAAGTTTATTTTCAGTGGGAGGTCGACTTCCTCCCCTTATCCTAACAGCAGACCTCTCATTGAGAATGAAACTTGGGGCCATGCAGAGTCAAACTTTTTCACT